AAACCTCGGATCCTCATCCTCCGTCAAAATGCCCTGCGAGATCAAATCCTCGGGATTGGGCCGATTCTGAATCTTATGGTCGAGGTGATCAGCCAACATATGTTTCTCGAGCTCACGAGCATTGGCCTGCAGTGCGGGGGCGGCGTGGGTGGTGGGGAGGATGTTTCCTATCATCATCAACAATCACCAAGCAGTCAGCATGCATCCCTCTATTCCCTAGTATAATATGTATAGTATATAATGATGGACATACGCTCAACCAACTCCTCCCTCTCCGGCCGATGTTCGAGATGTTTCTTCAGCGCGTCTGTCGTGCGTTGGCGGGCGAGTTCTTGGCGGGTTGCTTGGAGGGAACTATCCTCTTTATTAGGTATCTTATTGTATAGATGGATGGAAGTATGGGAAGGGGGCAGGTACGGAGCAACATTCGTATCCAGCAGGATATGTCTGTCTTTGAGATCCTGCACGTCGGGACGATGCTGGAGATGCTTCTCCAGGGAACTGCGACGTTCGGGAGATGCGGAGAGGGGGGTCTCGTCGATGCTAGCAGCAGTAGTAGGAGTAGTAGTATTGAGGTCCATTGCGGGGTAGAAGAATGTAGGCTTGTTGTAGATGTAGATAGGTGGGAAGAGTTATGCTAGGGTAGATGTAAACGCTGGGCAGGTATGGATGATGGGCTGGGTATATACAGTGATTCGAAGAGTGGTGTGACTGGAATAAAGAATAGAAAGAAGGCTGGTTGTCCAGGGGACTAAGAGGGGAGGTCAAGTGATGCGTGCGGAGGACGAATCCACGGGACTGGCGCCGAGGAGGCCCACTGGACGATGTCATCACACCTGACTTCATTACTACCTACCAATCTCATTCTCACTACAACATCAACATTCAGGATTCAGAATCGGTCACTGTTGCATTCTAGTCACACTGGATAGTTAACAGTTAGCTAAGTAGCAAGTCGCAAGTAGCTCGGTCACATCGCCAATCTGTTTCCCCCTCCAATTATTCTCCGTAGCAATCGAAAACATGTCCAACAAAGAGTAACGCAAAGAATGACTGCTATATCTGTTTTGTAACTGCAGAGTAGAATGTCGAAAAGCGGCCTGGGAATTGCCCACCACAACGTGGCTAGGAGAAAAGATGTGCTCCATTTCTTCCCTCGGAAGTCCGAAGGATTGAAAGCAACGCCATATGAGGACCCAGCATCTACTACGCCTCTCGCAGCCTAAGCGACGCCCAGAGAGTTCCACCCGACGAGGGCCATACTGGATCGAAACTGTCCCGTATCCGATTCCTCTCGTCTACCGCATTTTCGCATCCATGCCGTCTGTCCAGGACCTGTCGCCCATCAATGTAGCCAGTCGCATCCGACAACAAGTCTGACCTTAGGCAGCCCGGGAATGGCAGAACATATCCTTTCTGCTTCGTGTAACAACCACAATGGTCTATTTCAAGTTTGAGAAATATTCATCCGTCCATCTGCACAGACTGACGGACCCGACCATTGATCAAGGAACCCAGAGCTTACCACGGCCGCGGCTGCTACCACGCGAAGGACCCCGAGAACCACCACGGCGGCTGTTCGAATAGTTCCGAGATGCCCCCGCCATGCCACGTGCGGCCCCGGACTGGGTGCTCAGATCAACCGTGGGCTGCTGCTGCTGCTTCGTCACACCCAGCGATCGGCTGAACGAGTTGGGATCGATTGGCTGCGTGGGAATCTCCATCGTAGCCTCCACCGGAGGGGCGACAGACTTGAATGCAGCGGCCTTGCGAGTAGTGCCGCCGCGCGAGCCACCTCCTCGAGTAGATCCTTTGCCGCGACCGCGGGGGACGAAAACAAGCTCGTCCTCGTCGCTCTCATCCTCGTAGGAAAGAAGAGACTTTGGCTCTGCGGTGGTCGTCTGGGTCTTCTCCACGTATTTGCACCGGTTCTTGTATTCCCGCTCCTCGTACTGGATGGATGTCCGCAGTTGATGGATGTTCTTAACTCCGATACCGAATTTCTGCGCCCAGACCTGGGTAGGCCGATCGTTCGTAATGAGAATGCATGTTTTTGCCGCGTTAGCTGCATCAGGACCGCTGTGCAGCCGCCACAAGAGGGCGCTGAGCAGCGGTCTGAGCATCAAAGGAACCGTGGGAATAGTGGACCCGGACGCAGAACGACGGTGTCCACTCTCCGGCTTCTTTTTCGCATCCTTGCCGACGCCATTGACAACATGAGAATTCGCACACTCGGGACTGGTGCGAGAGCTCCTGGAGGACGGCCGGGATGCAGGGGCGCTGTGAGTGCCGTTTGACGTGATCGAGACCGCATCGGATTCTTTCTTGAAATTCAACTTGTTGAGAAGCATCTGCGACAGATCGTCGGGGGCGGCGCCGTTCTTCTTCGTATCTTTGGGCTTATCCTCGCGATTCCGCTGCGCCACCTGGTCGCCCGGAAGAACTCCGTTGGCTTCGGGTTCCTCCTCGAACTCTGGAAGGAAGAACTTCTCCGCCTCGGTCCAGTTCTCATATTGCTCCATGGGGCCCTGCAGGATGACTCGTTCGGCGGAAATGTTATCCTTGCCGGAGGTAACACGGTCGAGGAAACGGACGGCCTCGCGGGCATTGATGGCGACTTGGGATCCGGCTCTCTTCAAGGCATGGAGGCGTTCAAGGGCTAGAGAGGCATCGGTCAGCAGATACGACTGGCGTGTCATCGAGTCACTCACTGTAGAGAGGAACGATAAGAGTGATGGCGCCGTTGGTGGTCCATTTTTTGATTTCGCTGATATTGGTGGTTAACGCCGTCTCGTCCACGGCACAGTGGAAGACCTTGCGTCCGGTCGACATGGCTGGCTGAGAAAGGTCGACAGGACCGGTCGCGTAGTTGAAGGGTGAAAGACTGGAAAGCCACAAGGGCCCTAGACCGAACAGCTTGCTTGGACGACTGCGACCGAGCCGCAGGCGTGGTTAGCGTGGTGCTGAAGCCCGCGAGGGAGGTTTGGATTGATTGGGATTAATGGAGGCGGAGGCCTGGGAATGTGGGGGCGCTGGTTCGAGGACCAGAACCATGGCCATTCACAGCCCGACCGCCAGCCAGATGCCAGATTGAAGGAATGAATCACTTACAATGAAAACCTCGCTCACTAGGGAAGATCATCTGCAGCATTTTGGGTCTTAAATCAGCGATCGTGGATGGAAAAGAATCAAGGCGAGATGGTGAGCGAGGCATGAATCCATCAGCGGATCAACTGAAAGCCGCGGGATTCGCCTGGGGCCTGACTAAGCGCCGAACGGATTCGACCGATTTTCCTGTCATCATCATATATTCTCCTCCACTATTGTTCCCCTCATAACACGCCCCTACCATCCCCCAGTGACTCAATGGCTGCCCCGGTGTTATCATCACCTTTACTCATCGCTACACGCTTATCTTATTTGGGATTTCCCGCGTACTTCTAGATGGTTCGATCTCTATCTGGTATGGTATAATTGCGGTTGCTGGAATCGAGATGGAGGGGAAAACGCTATGTCATACAAGACCCGACGATCATCAGGCCAATCCAATCTCCTCGCCTTCAAACCAACGTCAGCTGTCCTTTCTCCCGTCTCTACGTTGCCTTCTTGATGAGACCCTCCTCGGGTTTGACACGTTGTGCCCACTCACTGTCACCGTTGTCAGCCACCGAACCTTTGTAGAAAGTCAGGGATTGGGAAAGAACTTACGTCCAGCTGCCATCGTATACCCTCCGTAGGTTGGGCTCTCCGAACTCCGCTTCGCCTAGTGCCGTCTCAATGATAGTTGCTGTCACACCGGTGCCACAAGAGCTGATGATGGACTTGGACTCATCAATATCCTTGCCTTCGAAGATCTTGCGTAGCTCTGGCCCCGGGAGATAAGTCTTGGTCTCCGGGTCCAGCAGTTGTTGGAAAGCTAAGCTTTGGGAGCCAGGAATATGGCCCGATGACAGGCCCGGACGTGGCTCCGGATCGGTTCCCGCCCAGCGACCGTACGAGCGTGCGTCCAGGATCTCTACTTCCTTTGCGCCCTCCTTCCTATGCTCCTTGGCGATCTCCTTCAGCTCCCGGTAAGGGATCACGAGTTTCGAATCATACGTAGGTACGGGGTAGTTGGTCCGCTCCGGCTGGGAGGGCTCACCAGTCTCCGTCGGGTATCCTTCGCGAACCCACAACCTGTAGTTGTTGAGTAGATGAACTCGAGGGTGTCCAAAGACCCGAAGGGTCCATCCGACGCGGGGAGCGCTGAAGATGCCCAGCTCTTCGGTGTCGTAGACCACCACCTCGTCGTCGCGGCGAATGCCAAGCTCACTCATTGCTTCGGCAAACGTTTCGGCGGTAGGGAGCATGTGCGGGTAGGGCGAGTCATGATCCTTGACTCCGTCTAGGTCGAAGAAGCGAGCCTCGGGGACGCGATGCTTGCGGAAGATGTCAACTCCTTTGCGACCCTCGGGGTCGTTCGGCATAAACCAGGCCGCGCATAGCGGTACCACACGAGGGGAGGTGGAGATCTTCGTGCGCGGGTTCTTCTTGAGGGCGGAATCAAGCTCCTTGGGGGTAATCAAATATGAGTTGAAAGAGAACTGGCGACATTGGTTTACCGTGGACATGGTGGACCGAAATAGGCGAGTCGGTGAAGGGATGGAATTCCGAAGAGTTACAAACGCCATGTTGCGAGGCGGGGGGGCAGATGCAGTAAATATGAGAGAAATTGTTCAAGGATTATTTACATTCCGCTCAGACCGTGGTGTCTGATTAACCCACCTGCAGGTCCGGAAAGATGAATGAGGGGGGAAAGAAAGGAAGAGGAATAGTGTGGGAAGCGCAAGATCAATGGACAATGACGGGAGAGCTTCGCTATCAGTCCGTCTTTCTCCTCGCAAATGCGGAGGTGGCCATGTGAATTTCGGGAAAGCCTGTCCGCTTATCGCCCGGTCCACTTCCCTTTCCAACCACTCTTTCCCTTAACCTCCCCTTCCTCCCGACACTAAACGAGATCCCCCATTGCAATCCAATCAATCCTCCTCAGCCATGAAGGTCACCATTAAAGAGTGGAACGCCGTTGCTACTTGGCGCTGGGATATGCCCGACGATGAGGTGTGTGGTATTTGTCGGGTTCAATTTGATGGCACATGTCCGACCTGTAAATTCCCAGGTGATGATTGCTCGCTATGTATGTCAACAATACTCCTTTTTCACACTGCATAGTTATTAACGGGGAAATTTTCACAGTGCTGGGAAAGTGTGGTCACTCCTTTCATATGGTGCGATTGTGGATCTTGATGTTCTCATCGTGAAGACGAAACACTAACATTAACCAACCCAGCACTGCCTCATGACCTGGATTCAACAAGAGTCCTCCAAGGGACTCTGTCCGATGTGCAGACAGAGTATGTCATTCATATCCCTGCATTTAACTATGACTGCTAATCTAGCTGCAGAATTCGAATGGAAGCAAAACGACGAGGAGGATGAATAGCAACCTCAGTACTCGACAACCTAAGTGGGCTTGTTGAAGGCGTTGGTGGCTCCTTGCAAATTATGATACCCTGCGACTGTATTTCTCTTCTAGCATAGAGCTATTAGTATACTACTACTATTTATCTATATATATATTCTTGAGCACAGGTACTCCAACATCCGTGCACAATAAACAACAACTCTGTTTACCGCCGATCGGGTCACCTGACGCTATCGATAAGGCAGCAGATGATCCGCGACGAATGCGGCAAGTCAACTCCCTAGTAAGTAGTAAGACTAAGACTAAAGTAGTTCCCCAGATAAGTTAGTAAGTAGTACTATCTCAGGTACCGGCCCTGTCCTGCCACGCTCACCCTCCCTCTCTCACTCCCACTACTACTCATTCTAACAATGTAGCTCCTCCCCCCAGACATGTCTCTTCACAAACACACCTCCCCATCTCCCTTATCCTCCTCACCCTCCCGCCAATCAGTCCGCCGCACCTCAGGATCTCGCCCCCAGAGCATCATCGACCGGCCCGGCACCGCCCAACAAGTCACCGACATTCCGGAGGAGCACGACTCCCACGAAGCTGCACCTGCACCAGCTCCAGTCCCACAAGTGCACGCCCCTACCGAGCATGAAAAACCCAACGAGACAACATCAGCAACCACACCATCGCACACCACCTTCCAACCCTTCTTCACCTTAATCGAAGACGCCAACTCCTCCGAATACCACCACCCCACAGTACACTACATCTTCTCCGACGATGACACAGACATCGTGACAGAGGCAGCTCTACGCGCCCTAGAATCAGAGCCCGACCTTTTCGCAGCCAACGGAAAGGGTAAATCCAAACATACACAAGACCACAATCGTCAAGACGGTGGTGAACAAGGCACATACCCCGAAGACGATGACTACGCCCACCAGAGGAAGGAGTCCCTCCTCCCGGACCCTATCCCAGGTGTCCGCGATAACTACGTCATACTCGATGTAGACTACGCCTCGCCAGATGGTACACATCCGGAGACAACAGTCCCAAACACCGACGGCGGCGCGGCCAGCGCTCACGAAGCCCAAGGAACAGGACCTCCGCTTCCACAACAACAGCAACAGCAACAGCAGCAATCATCGGCGCATAAATACACCGTGACCTCCGCACACAGTTTATCCCCAGCATGGCAGGTTTTGAACACGCAACTGGTTTCGGCGCCTACCTTTGAGAATAATAATAATAATAACTCGTCTGGGGGACAGCCGCCGAATGGGAGTTTGATGCTCAAGATCAAGGGCACGGCAGGACTACCTATGAATATGCCGGGGAAGGACAAAGATAGAGAGAGGAGTAGTCAGCGGTTGGAAGATATGATGGATCAGTTCGCGAAGCGATTATCGGAGCTGAGACAGGTTATTGGTACGGAGGAGCAGATGGACGATGCGGAAGAAAGAGTAGAGGATGACACGGCATTGCCTGAGGAAGGGGATGTCGAGGGTGCTCCTGCGGATAACACTGAGGAGCCGATCGAAGCCGAGACTCGTGTTGAGGGTGGTGGGGAGAATGAGGGGCAGTCTGCAGAAAGTTGAGCTGGCAAGTGTAGATGTCCGGACTGGTTACTGTAACCATGCAGTGTGGCAAACATTATATGCAGTACTTATAGGCACCCACCACGCTACATACTACATCCTACGTTCTAATGTTAAGCAGAAATCATGACGCATTCAAATAGCCACAAATGGCTAATCTCTGTTGTAGCAGACGAGGTATCTATACCAGAAACAATGGTAACACAAACTCCCGAACACCATATTGCAAAGTTTTCGAAAACCACCCATCCCGCATTCAAAACAAGCACCCAGTCAGTGTCCGTCTCCAAACATCCAGTCAAAATACGATATCAAACAACCTGTCGTTCTTCAAAATGGACAAATCCCAGGGTATTAGGGTATCCCATAACGCCTGCCACCACCAAGCGAGACATTTTAATAGTCATGCACAATGCAAAACAAAAGAAGAGTCAAGCACGTGACACTAATTGAAGGGCTGGTTTCTCAGCCTTCTAGCGCTGGAAGGAGGAGGAACGTTCTCCGGCCCCTCCAGCATCCCAGCCATCTTCCTCGTCAGCTTCTTCTGCGATAGCTTGCTATCAGTCGAGGTGAGATTGGAGCAACGTCTTTTCGCAGGCGGTTGGTCGGTGTCTTCGGTTTCCGGGGTGAGGTCCATGGTAATCCGAGGGGTTTCCGTGCCGGCAGTAGATGATTTGCGGTCTCCAGCGCTAGATGCGCGCGGTTTTACGACGTTTGCATCGACTTCCCTAAGGCCCGTGTTGGAAGGAGTAACCGCGGTTTTGGGTGGTAAAAATCCTACCTCGTCCGAGGTGTCGTTGAAAACGAACCCTTTGGATGGGGGAGTTCCAGGAGAGCTGTCGAGGGTGGGGAGCTGATCTTCGCCACTGAATGGCAGTGCCGTGAACTGTCTCGATGTTCTCATCCGGGTTTTCAAGCAATCATGGCCTTCCGTCCGGGGGAGGTCAGACGGATAGTCGTAGGCGCGCTTCCTGGGAGTCACGCCAGTGGAGACATATTCCTCGAAGGCTCGGTTCCTGATGTTCTCTCGAAGATCGGTCAATGGCTTGCGGACTTCATCCGACAGTGGCATGGTCGACTCTTGCAGGTTGAGTTGTTGCTGAATTGCACCCTCTTGTAGCTCACTTAGACGGCCACCAAGCTCCGTGAACTGTGTGTTCACAGAATCATATGACTGGTGGACATTGGACGACATGTTCTGCAGGCTTGAAAGGTGGGCGTCACGGTAACGGCCATTCTGCGAGCGAGCTTTGGCGACGAAATCGTCCAGTGCTTCCATTTGTTTGCTCATGTTATTCACCTGAGCATCAACAATACGGACCGTCTCCTCGTGGACCGACTCTGTAACCTTTTGGATAGAAGCATTGCGTTGATCGAAGACCTACAATATTAGTATAAGTGGGCACAAGTATCCAGAGAGCAAAACTTACCTCCCAGTCACTTTGCATCCTTGACCTGATGTCGTCTTTCGATGCAGTGACATCCTTGGCAAATTGTTCCGACTTGAACACCCACTCGTCAACATGGCGGTCATACTGCGCGGTGGCGTGCTCCAGGAAGTCTCCAGAAGATGTAAGATCCGTGCGCATTGTCTCCACTCTACCCTTCAAGCGGCCAAATTGCCTCTGGCGGGACTCTTCAATCAAGGCCTTCATCTGCGACATCAAAAGGTCACGTTCAGCTTCAGCATTAGCACTTTCTTCCTCAAGGGTCTGTGCCAAGTGTGAAGATGCCCTGCGGTTGGCCTCGACCGCCTTGGTGTTAGCCTCCTGGAGCTCCAATCGCAACTTGTTGATCTCTGCTTTTTGTCCATTGAGATGCGTGACCATATCCTCGAACACAGTCTTCAAATCCTTGCCAAGAGCACTGTAAGAAGAATGCAGTTGAGCATGGAACTCAGAGAACTCGCCGATAACCTCTTTGGAAATGCGAGCAGCTGCGGCTGAGAGACCATTCAATCCTTCGCCAACCTTACGCTTAACATCCTCGCGTAGATCCTTGATCTCTTCAAGGACTTCGTTCATCTCATCATGGGCGCCCGTGGTCTGAGAATTCGCCTCACGTTCCGCCTTATCGAAGAGGCCTGCCGATTGAAGCAATTGCGATTGGTTCGATTCGATATTGCCGAGTTCACGCGTGACAAACTCGTTGATCTTCTCGGACATGGCTTCCACAAGCTCGGAATGTTGCTCCTGGAACGCCTCAACCTTGGAATCAATCACCGTAGTGACATTGGACACTTCCGCAGTAGACACCTGCCAGGCCCGCTTGTTGGTGGCATCCAGGTCAGTCTTGCGTTGTATCTTGGCGTGCAGGCCACTGATATCTTCCACCGTGGTATCCAAAGTAGACAGAAGACCTGCGCCGAGATCGCGAAGTTTCGCTTCTGTCTCTTCATGCGCTTTACGCAGCATTTCCTCCTCCTCGAGCTGAGCTTTGGTGTCCTTGAGAACAATCTCAGTCTGCTCAAGTACATCATTGGTATTAGCAAGAGCAGCACGTGTTTCTTCATTGTCCTTCTTCAAGTCGTTGAAATTGCTCGTGAGCGTGAAAAGTTCCTGAACCTTGTGTCGCAAGCTCGATTCCATGGACTCGATCTTTGCACGCTGTTCCTCATTGACGATCCTTCGTGATTCGCTTTCCATATGCATCTCTTCCCAGGAATCTACGCTCATATACACGCCATTTCGGTGTCGCGTAGCAATAAGCTCTCCCTTCAACTTCTCAATCTCTGCTGTGAATTCACGAATGAGCGTCTTCTTCGGCATCGTTGAGTTGATCTGTGGCTTGTTGCGAATATTCTTCGCTCTAAATGCATAATCCAGCGTGGAAATAGTTTCCTCCAGGTTACTGCGGGATGGTGAGACCGTAGCAATGATGCATGTCTTTGTTCGTCCTCCGAGAGAGTCTTGCAGCAGGCGGGTAAGCTTGGATTCTCGGTATGGGATATGGGGGCTTTTGTCGACCAAGGCGTTGATCACACGACCCAAAGTGAGCAAGCTCTTGTTGATTAGACCAGCTTCGGTCGCACGCTTGTTCTCAGCACCGCTGCGCTGGATATTCTCACTACCAGCCAAATCGACCAAATTCAGCTTTCCGTGGCTGATATGCTCGTCGCCGGACTCTGTAATCCGTTTCGTAAGGACGGTGATGGTGAAAACAGTGTGACTCCGGGAACTCAGGTCGTTGCATTTTGTTGCTGCTACTTGCCGCTTGTGACTTCCCTCCTGGAGCAGCTTTATTCCAGCCGACGCTGAGTCGATGAATGTTTCCTCCATACCCTGAACAAGCGTGCTCCCATGGCCCTTCTTCGACTCGTTTTCATAGATTTTGAGTTTCGAGTTATCCTCGTACGCTAGCAGATCGCGAAGCTCTTCATTGTATAGTTCGATGAAGGAACACTTCACCGTGCTCTCTGTTTCTTGGAGCTTGTGGAAGAGTGAGTAGAGCACACGCGGAATAATACCAGCATTGTCTGATAGTATGCCCAGGGTATCCGTCATG